GATTCGCAAAAAAAAGTCTCCAATCTCATACAAATATACACCGGCTGGTGTGACGATCTGTGTCGACAGAAAATCTTCAAGGCGTTTGAGGCACGTGTTGCCGGTACAGTAGAGTGCTGAAACTTTGCACATATATTTGTTTAACCAAGTCTAACATATATAGAGTGTGCTGCGATCAAAATTCGAATTTATGTATATTCGGGACCAACCTACTGCAAGTATATACAATTTTTAATAAATGGGAGAACGGTTTAGTTATTTTTACAAATAGTGTACGTTTCCATATTTTTTGCGGCGAAAGAGGCGACGCAATAATAACATTTTGTACATATTTGAGTAAACGCGTCACTGAAAATTTATATCAGAACATTTTCAGATTTATAGTATTGCGTCACACCGGGAACTTCGAAAGAAGTGTTTTTTACTTATATTTCATTCTTACCATTTCTCACAACGCTATCTACAGCGGCTTCAATATGTAAACAACCGGCATTCGTGTGTGACTTGTCAAGTCGATTTTGTCAAGTGTGATTACGTAAAATACATTACGTACAACTACAGAAACAATATAACAATCTCTCCCATCTCGCCAAGCCAACAGATGGCGTTAATGTATACCAATCGCAATATGAGTCTTCATAGTCTGTACTGCTTGTTGTAAGCTCCCCAATCACGATCGAAGTATAAATTCACAAGTTAACACGAAGCATAGTTACGTGTAAAGACTATAAAATTGTCGACTCCATATCGGTAATAGCTATTGGTTTTCTTTTTAAAGAGACATTACATGATAGATAAAGCATTATCACCTTGTGGCCGTCTATCGAAACAGTCAACATGAAAGCATTGCTTGTAATTTTATTCGTGACCATAGCAGTGGCATCGGTTAGTGGCGTTGTTGATAACGTTCTGAATGCGGTTGGTGGTACGGTTAACGGATTGGTTGGCTCCAACGATTCCAATGGACAAGCAAACAAAGGCTCTTCTACTTTGATAAAAGTGCTGTGGAAACTGCTTAGTGGTTTATTTAAGGCATTATTTGGACGATTCTTTAAACCTTCATACTTTAAGAAGGTCATGAAATTTTTTAAAATGATATTTGGCAACATTTTGTAGTTAATTCTACAAAATTTTAAGAAAAATTCAGAAAGTTCCATATGAAACATTACACAAATCTGTAAAATATCTTTTTTAACTTCAATAAATAATAATAATACAAAGAAATATACAAATAAAGAGTTTTAATTTCTGGACGCATATATTTCACTTCGATTAAGTTTTTGCGATATTCAATTACTTGATTGAAGCCGACAGAAGACGGGTCTTTCAACCAAAATATTTGAACGATTGCCGGATAGAACTAAATTTTCAAACACACTGTTACGAAAGTACATCTGTGTCTAAGAATAACTGCCCAAATAAAAAGTGCTGGTTCCATAAAAAGTTAGAGTTGTCATTTTGAATGAACCAATTGGTTTGAATTCAATCGTATAGATTTATTAAATTATGTTTAAAAGTCTTGACTTAAGACAAAAAACACACAAATTTATTTAAAAACAAAGAACTTTTCAACTATAAGAAAAAATAAATACAATGTGACGATTTTTTGCAACAATTTATCATTTATTCAGCTTTACTTGTAAAACAAAAATCTTTATCCAAAATTTTCTATTCCAGTGCGCATTGTGTGAACAAAGCTATTTAGTAGGTTTTTATTTATTTTATGGATTATTTGAAAATTTATTTACTATTTATATCTTTTAAAGATCCAGTCACTGGATCAAGAAGTCAAACATATTTTTTTATAAACCAGTCGAAGCATGTTTCAAACTAACAGAATTAGTTAGAACCACCAACAGTATCAGTTACAGCATCAGTAGGACTCGGACCTTGAGTCAAGCCAGACAAACCACTTCCAGAGCCAGTCAAAGCACTAATAGGATTACCACCAGTAGAATTTGCACCTTTACCCAGGCCAGGCAAGCCAGACAAACCACTAGCAGGCCCCGAACCACTTCCAGAACCAGTCAAATCATTAGTCAAACTACTAATAGGATTATCCATACCATCAGTAGAACTCGAGCCTTGAGCCAATTTCAAAGCATCACCCAAACCACCAGAAGATCCAAGAAGATTTTTCAATTGCTCAGGAGCAGACTCAAACAGAGAACCCGTTTTATCAGCAGTCTCACTATCACTGCCACTTAAAGCTTTTCCGTTGACAGCAATAGCTGCAAACAAAAGTGCGACAATAACGAATTTCATTTTCTTTACTTTTTTTTAACTGACTCTTTTGAGAGAAGAAGACAATTTGATAATTTTGCTGTGAATTCGATGGCCTTTTATACAAAATCAGATAGGTAGCGAAACTATCTATTGACGTCAAATGAACCAGATGTTGTTTATTTGTATTAAACAAATGTTTGTCATTTCGTATCATTTTTTTATTACCAAATGTGAAAACTAACGAGAGGATAAAAAAAATAATAACTTTGTTTGTTCATTTTATTTTAAATTTTGAACAGTTTATTTGTTTTGATTTAAATTTATACGATGCTTACGATTTTTGTTTTGCTTATTTGGTATAGTTTCACGCGTCTTTAGGTGAACTCATAAAATATTCCATTGAGTGATATCACAAATCCGTGTTTAGTTGATAGAGTCATGAATAGCATTTAAAAATGACAATAACAGTTTCCATTTGTTTTCCTGCGATGGTTTTATTGTTCAATATTTGTAAATTATTCCACCTATTAGTTTGAGAGAAATAAGGATCAGATAGATTTGTGTGATTGGTAATGATATGATGCGATGATTTGCTAATAGAAAATATGAAATAAAAACTATTTTTGCTATGATTGTTGTCAATTTGATGGCGGCTATTTGATGCTTCCCGTTCGAGTGAATTTAGTAATGGGTATCTTTTAGAACCAGACATTTTTGGAATGAAATATTTAAGACGATTGTATCATTTTTTTTAATGCAATATTTATTAAATTATTTAATGAAACGATAAGAAAAACAAAACCTGCAGATTTGTTCAAAAAATAGAAAAATAGTAAGTGATTGTGTGGTTTAGCACACAGTCATTGTAGCCATAGTTCGGGTTGTGAGTTAGGTGAACGGTTGCCAAAAATCAGCGGGATTCTGGTGGAGATGCATCTCCTGCTGGTGATGCGGATTCCGGTTCAGCTGATGCTGG